CATAGTATCGTTCGTCCAGGAATTTTGAGTACTGAGATTGCGTTTGACAGAGGCAAATGAATACCATTTAAAATGACTCTTGAAGCGCCTACCTGGAAGACAGCAAAGGAAGGGACAATGGACTTCAGAAATGAATGGTTCAATGAATGAGCTAACGAATGAATAGAGGAACAAACCAATCAAAGAATGTGGTTTTTACGACGTTGTTTTTCTTTCCCGTGACCTATTACCAATGATCAAAATCAGATTTCATTGCGGTTTGCACCGTCTCCTGCTGTAAGTTGCCTAGCAGCACATTTAAATACTCCATGGCTCTACGATGTCCAACAGTTTATGTAGTTTATGAGGTAGCGTATACGGGTTACCAACTGCTGAAACGTCTATTGTGGTAAATGCGAGGTGACTCCTGAGCAAACAGAATGATACGAGCCGCATCTGACACTGCGGGTGCTTAAATAACATGGATCCGTGGCCTGCTTAAATGACCGCTTAGGCAACTAGGAGCAACGGGACGGTGAAATAACCTTGAAATCTGGTCTTGAAGAAGTCATTAGTTATTCAATACATTCGGACGTATGAACAGCTAATGATGTTAATTCCCATGACCAAGTGATACAGAGCGTCAGTGTGGAAACGTTGGTGAAAAACGGTGATTGTAAATCTCTCGTTCTTCCACCATGCAATTATAAAGATTCTGTTTCATATGACAAAAAAAAAACTGGCACTATTAACACTGGATGAATTCATGTTCAATTCTTCCTTGTTCTTTCTCAAGTCTAAATATATCAAGATGCATCAGAAAACTTTAAACAATGCATCTCATAAATATACAATGAACTGCAGATACTACAGTGTCGCGAATTTTTAACCTCAATATAAAGCACCCTCTAGGTTTTGAGGGGCAAAAGGTTTAATAGCGTTACATAAAGTCAGAAAATAAAACCTGCGACGTAGTCCACTAGGTGCAAGACAAAGATGAAATGCAAATGCATTGAAAGAAACACGTTGACATGTTGCTGAATAAGTCATGAATTTATCATTGCCGCAAAATAACATATGCACTTTTAATTGCGCGACAAAATCAAGTATTCGGTTTTGCAAAACGACGGTGTGAAACGTATGCTATGAAAATTCTCTTCTGTGAGTCCTAACAGAATTTCTAATAACGGTAGGTGGAAGAACAATCGCCAGACGATCCATCTGATCCTCGTTGTTACAGGTAATTTAAATGACCTTTAAACCGAAACGAAGACTGAATAAAGTCACGATCTGAAACTCAGAAAAATCAAACATTTCTACCTCACAGGGAGAGATGCATATTTTCGTGATCTGTGCTTTTTCCTGGATTGAATATTCCATTTGCCAAATGTCATCACGCATCGATTTCCGAAATAACAGCAACGTATTTTAATGCACATTTACATCT